TTTCCCGTCATTTACTCAAATTAAATATTCTCCTGCATAAAATAAAATATTATGAAGTTATTTAGTCAATCAATCAAATAATATGAAATGATCCATTTGAGTTAGGATCATTCACTTTCTGTGTAGATTGTATGTTCAAGTTTTACAGAATTTTTTTTTTAATTAATATGTAAATAATTATAATTTATTAAAAAAAATCACCAAAATAATCTGATTTTAATGTTTTGGGTTAGATATGGTTTGGTATTTGGATAGGGTCAGACTTGAAGTGAGTTGGCAAATTGTACCTTACGAACACGCATCTGATGGGTCCATTTTGGCGTGCAATTCAATGCTCCGCCCCAGAACATAATATATAGGACAATGATACAGATGATGAATAAATGAGACAAATTTTTTAGATTAATGAGGTGGCAAGTCACGTTATTAATATATTAAATTAAATTATGTATTTTTTTTATCTTCAACCTCTTTTTTGGTTTTTTTTTCCTTTCCAAATCTCTTATATTTCTGTCTCAGCTCCCCATTTTTTGCCAAGCTCCTCCATTGTGTGGACCTCTCCAAACTCAAGGACCAAGCTTAAACCCACCTTAGCAATCGAAACCATAGCTGTCGTTTTAAAATTTTTTTTAAAAAAAGAAAAAAAATAAAGAAAAATTAAACCCTAACCATTTGGTAAAATTGAACTCTATTTAGGAGAAACCCTAAATCTATTCTTAGTTTTTGCAAGGGGATGAGAAAAATAGAGACAAATGATGAAAATTTGGAAGAGAGAGCTTGGATTTGGATGAAGCCGTAACAAAGAAAAACTTGCAAAAGAAATAGAGAAAATGAGTGAAGAAGATGAATACGGTGGATCATTTTTAATATTTATTAAAATATATACTAAGGTGGTATGCCATCTCATTTTTATCCTTTGAAATCGTCTCTTCTTTTCGTTTTTCTCATTATTATTCTAATATATAATATGAGCCTGCAATGCTGAATGTGACACATAACTGATTTTTCAGGCTCTATCTTGCCATGAGCTCGTGTTATGAATGCCAGAA